ACTTAACTGTAATTAAATAGTTCTGAGAATGCAGGGACTTTTTATTTATACAGATAAAACATTTGATGTGTTTTGCAAAATGATAAAATGAAATTTAACATAATATCTACTGAGTATAATAAATTCACCCGGCTTGAGTGATCAGGAGGGAGAGGATTTAACATCAGCCTACAGGTTAAGTCAAGAGCCTAGTATGTGCCTAGTATTTCCAGGAAGCAGTCCAGCCCTAGTGCATGGTTCTGGTTGAACTGATTTTAGTTTCAGGCATTTGCATAAACTCTACTGTGCTCCCTGAGATGGGTTATTTGCATGACTTTATAGAGGTGCTGTATCAGTTTCCTTCAGCTGCCATAACGAAGCCCCACACTCTTAGTGGCTTAAGAAGATTAGAAAGTTATACTCTTGGTTCTGGAAGACTTGAAGTTGAAATCAAGGTGTCTGCAGGTCCAGGCTCTCTTCGAAAGCTCTACAGGAGGACCCCTCCTTGCCTGTCTTCCAGCTTCTGGTGATTTCCAGCAGTCCTCAGCACGCACTGGCTTGTGGATACGTCCGTCTCCGCCCCCATCATCCTGTAGTGTTCTCTCTGTTTTCTCTTCTTTCTCTTCTCTCTTATAATCATTGGATTAGGGCCCATATTGATCCACTGTGTCCTCATTTTAACTGATTACGTCTTCAGAGTCCCCATTTCCAAATAAGGTCATCTTCTGAGGTTTAGGGTGTACTTGAATTTTGGAGGGAACACTATTCAACCCAGTACAGGTGCATTCACCTGTGACACCCAGGACATCGTATCTAATATGTTACTTTGGAAGACTTAGTCTGAAGTACAGAATCTTGGCAATATGCATCAAATGTCTGAAAAATACCCATACCTTTTGGTCTGTAATTTCATTCCTAGGAATTTAAGGATTGACTAAGAAAAGAGGTGCAAAGGGCATCACTGAGGCATCATACGTAATAGCAATAAATAAATCTATCACAAGAGTAGAGAAATTTTTAAATTAATTATGTAATATTTACTTGATAAACCATTACTCTGTTTAGAGTGTTGAAGAATATTTAGAATCATGGGGAATACTCACAATATTAGATGGAAAAAAAGCAGGAAACGAAACGGTAGCCAGCATTTTCTAGTCCTAAGTAGAGCCAGGCACACACACACCCTGAAAATTAATATGAAAGGAAAGGCAGGGGTATTTTATGGTGATTAGCTCTGAGTGGTAGAATTAAAAATGATTTTTACTTTATTTTCCTGATGTTTCTGATTTAACACTTTTCTCATCCAAAGGCAACAAAATACTATGTTTAATACCCATTAACTTCTAATTAACCTCTACTAGGATGCGGTTGTGTTAGGATTCAGGTTACTTTTCTGAAAGCCAAATTAACCTTTTTCCCAAAAATATAAATGAGGGGCTTATTTTTATGGTCAGATTATTAACAACCAGAGTGTATGACCAGGATGTTTATTAACAGCATATGGCACAAGTTGTGTGACCAGAATGAAATGAAATACTCCATTTCAGCAGCCCACTCAGTTTGAGATGAAAGTGCCATTTATTACAGTGCAGCTTGGCAGCTCTCAGAAGTCCCGTGAAATTTAATACTGAGCTGATGTTTATGTGTTCTCGTTCTCTACTAGTGTTTTTAGTCTACTAATTCTAGGTGAAACATTTTAACAAATATTTAGGTTTTATTTGTGGTTACCTAGGCCTTCTACCACATCTATACATTTGGATCTCATCCTGTGCCATATTAGATAGAATCCTTTGGTTTCATGATTATTGAAACAGAAACTTCCTAATCATGACAATAACATGGACTTATCCGTTTAGCCCAATGCTGAGTGGTATAGGTTTTTGTTAGAGTAGATTCTTTGTTAACCCTGGTTTCCCATTTGTAAAACCATTCATTGTTTACATTATTGCAGCACTGATCACTGGATTCGATACTGTGACTGTGTATATTTATTTCCCAGACAGTCATATCTGTCATATATTCTTATGTATATAAGCCTGATTTCTGTAGGCTCTTCATTTTAAATATCCCTGATGTTTCTAACAATCCATCATTTGAATTTCATTAGATTTTATCAGCCATCCAGCCAATTCCTTTTATTTCTGAAATACAATCTATCAAGCAAAGTACAAATGTATAATTGAAGAGTACTAACTTATTGGGATCTTAATAAAGAGTCCTATTTTAAAGCAGTGCCATAGATGCAGCGATATCGAATTCATACTCTTTGTTCTAGAAGTTACATTTTAGGAATGTATCCTACACATATATACAAATGTGAAATGGCACACACGCAGACGTATTCTGTAGCCTTGTTTACAAAAGTCTAAGATTGGGAACAGCCTAAATGCCTGTCGGGAAGATATATTAGTTACGTGTATCACAAAGCATCCATTCAACAGTCACATTATGCAGTCATTAACATGGATGACCTAGCCTTATGTGTGCTGAATGGAACAACTTCCCAAGTGTATTAAATGAAAAGAATTAAGGTACAGAATAGAGAATGATACAGTTAAAGAATGCAAACACAAACATCTTTGAATAGACTTAAAATATCTCTGGAAAGATACCAAAGAAATTGGAAGCAATGGTTACCTCTCACCAAGGGGAAGTGGGAGAATTTTGTACCACGCACTCAAATTACTTCCTAATAAGTTATTTTTTAATTACCTCACACGGTACCAAGCAAGAACTCAATAAATATTTGTTGATTGATTTTTTTCAAGGGTCTCCAGTGGATATGAAAAACTCCAAGAGTTTCCACTGCATGCACTTATTATTCAGAAAGGCTAGCTCTTTTATTTATTGACTCCGATCACGAATAGACTAACTAAGTAGGCCTGAGCATCTGATTCATAATCTTGTCGTCTACATTTTAAATAATTTATTCGGGCTGTATTTCTTTTTTGACACTGAGCAACGCAGACTTTGTAGGTCGTCAGTTTTTAGGATGCAAAATCAAACTGTTTGGTCAAAACACACTCTTAAAAGGTTGAGTGCTTGCTACACTTCAGTTTCCTGCTTGTGTGCAAGATACATGCCTTGTGATGGTTCAAGTGTGAGACAGAGAACAGACTTATGGAGAAAATAATAATACAGAAATTAACACATTTTATATAAAACATTTATTGGCCAGGTTTTCCTGTAAATATTGACCTGGTCTTGTTTAGCAAGACCTATTCTGGAGATAATGGTTTTCTTAAAAGAAAGGAAATTTCGTGTGTTTCAGAGTGTGGGTTCTCAAAGAGTTTCATGAAAAATGGGTGAAATCTCAAGTTGCAAGTGTTCCTTTTGTTTACCGTTTCTGGAGCTCATTCCCCGAGGGGAAAACCAAGTTAGACTTTTTTTATTGATTGGCCTGAATTCAGGTACCTGGGAACTTAACAGCGATCCCAAATTCACCTTCATATGTCCCCCTGAAGGCACATTTGCAAATCAAATCCCTGGAATTCCCAGGCTTACGTGTTAGTTCTCAAAATAATACGAGGGCCTGCTCTGATTAGATACAATATACATAAAATGCCTAGTACAGCACCTGTTCCATGATGGGCGCTGAGTGACCTGAATTGAGCTGGATAGATCTGAACTGAATTGAATTATACTTGCATCTTTGTCTGGCTAGATTTTCCCAGTTAATAGGTTCTGTTTTAAACTCATATAAGGAAACAACAGCACTCAAGTAGCCAAAATTTAATCATGCTTAAACCAAAAACTAGTGCAAACCAGGGAACGCCCTGCAAAACCGCAGAGTCTTTGTTGCTGTATTTTCTACCATAAAAATTAAGGTTTGAAGAATACTGTATGAGGAAGATCTGAAGAAACTTTGAGCACGCCTTCTGGTATACTCTCCAGCATGTGCAGCGATACCCCTTTCTATTTCTGACCTCAGGGAGAAGCCAGCACCGTGTCCGAGACCAGGCATTTCACAGCAGACTCACCACAGACAGAATGCTTAGGGGAATGCGCTTCATGTAGTAATATGTTAGCTTAGTGCTGAAATAGTCAATTAACAACTTCTAAAAGATTTGTGCACAAAAATGTCCATCACACCATTAGCAACAAAAGCAAAAACACTCTTCCTAACAATCCGATGATAGGGGTTGATTATATCCATAAAATAGTGCATTCTACAGCTATTATAAATAATGTTGTTGGCAATGTCAACAAGGACAACTTGTATGCTGTCATTTAAATGAAGAAAACAGCCATAGTCAAATCTGTAATTATAGTTTGATCCAACTATATTTTAAAATCCACGTAGAGACAAGAAGATTGGAAGGAAATAAAATTGTTACCAGTGAGTAATCTGAGCCATCACTGTTTCTTCCTCTTCATAATCATCAGTATCTTCCAATATTTCTACAGTGTGCATGTAACTTTTACAATCAGGAAAAAAAAAAAAACCTTAACCCCACATTAAATCTCATCCCAGGCATTCCCATCCGAACCACCTTGGACAACTCGACGACCGTTCAATATGCAGGTCTTCTTCATCAGCTGACAATGAAAGCCAGGAGCACCGTCCGTGACATTGATCCTCAGAACGACCTCACTTTTCTTAGGATCCGGTCAAAGAAACATGAAATCATGGTAGCTCCAGGTAATCTGGCATTTCATTTCACATTTAAAGCATCTTTGTACTTTGCTGGATAAAAGCTTTGTCTCAAAGAACGAGGAGTGTAGATTTTAACATGCAATATGCCACATAATGTTCTTCAACTACAAAATGAAGGAGTTTGAAAATTCCAACTGGAAAATTTTGTGAAGCCTTAGTGAAGAAGTTGAATTTTGCCCACTTGAATTTGTTATTTGTAATCAAAAAATTTAGGAGGTGTGGTTCTCATGTTATGTGAATTTAGCACACACATTCCTGAGAGTGGAAAAAATGTCTCCTGCCCAGGGGATAAATAGAGGGTGGATCAAAGGTCTGTAGAATCTTAAACTTCCTAGGGTAGAGTGCATTCAGCTGGTACTAAAAGTCCGCAGCCACAGAAATACTTCTTTCCTTGAAAGAGGAACAGTCACAGTGTTAGTAGATGTCAGTGTGTAACAGGACTCATGTTCCTAAATCTAGTCTAGAACAAGATTCTCTATACTACATCTGTAAAATCGGAATTACCCACCAACTAAATAAAGCTTTTTCTACACCTGTGCTGTCACTCAGGCAGCACATCAGAATCACCTGGAGAACTTCACACACACACACAAAAAAATTACTGATACCTGGGACTGCACCCCAGGCCCATGAAGACAGAATCTCTGGGCCTAGGCCCCAGGAAATGGTATTTTTTAAAAGCTTGATGGGTGATCTTGGTGTGCAACCACAGTGGAAATCACTGGTCTACACAAGATCCAAGTGAGGTTTTGAAGAGAAAAGCAGGTCAGCTGAAGTATTCACTTATTACATTTAATTTTTTAGGGTGGATTAATTTTGTCCATATCTCTCCACAGATAAGGAGTATCTTCTGATTGTCATTCAGAATCCATGTGAATAGACCTACGTCAGCCAAGTCTGCCCTGTGACACTAGGGTGAAAACACTTTACTCCTTAGTGATTACTAAGATTATACCCCAACCTAAATGATCTTTTGGACATTCCTTTCTATTTTTACATTTAAACCATTCTACATGTCTCATTTAGTTCCTTTTGAATGTATTGTAAATTTGTGATTTAACTATATAATAAATAAATTCTGGTGCGTATGTCTCTCTCTCTTTTTTTTTATAATACACAAAACCAAAGGATTCTAGTGAGAAGATGGCCTTCCTTGCAACAGTTCTTTTAGTCTAGAAGTAACTGCCACCAAGAATCGGCACAGAAGTGTAATTTTGTCCATTTCGTTAACATGCCAAGGAGATTCAGTGGAGCCCTGTGGGAGCCCCAAGGGAAGTAGGAAAATCAAAGAACAAATGTAGCAGATTTCTAAGACCCGTACAGAATAGATGTTCATATTTTGCCATATTTGCCTTATATCCTCTTTTTTTAATTAAGCTTTTTATTTTGAGATAACTGAGGATTCACATGAAATTGTAAGAAATAACATCGAGATCCTGTGTGCCCTCTGCCCAGTTTCCCCCAAGGCAGCATCTTCCCAAACTACAGCACAGTATCACAACCAGGAAAGGGACACTGATTCAATCCAGATACAGAGCATTTCCATCACCACCAGGGTTCCCCGTGGTGCCCTTTTGTAGCAAACTCCCCCAACTCTGGCACCCAATAGTCTGCCCTCCATTTCTATATTTCTGTCATGTCGAGAAGTTTGTGACATAAATGGAATCATACAATATGCAGCCTTTGGGGACTGTCTTTTTTCCCTCAGCATAATTTTGTTGAGATTCATCCAAAAAATAAGAAAACGTTACCGATACAGCTGCAGCCCCTCTCCTTTGTGCCTCGGGCCTCTCCTTCCCAGAGGGTTCTTGTCAGGATGCACAGATCACCCTGTAATCGGGAAGAACAAATCTGACTTCATATGAGCTCTGTTCCTTTGGCTCTAACCCTGTGCCTTTTCCTGGGCTTAGTCATGCTGGCTCTGCACCTTTTGTAAAAGAATGTTGCCTACAGCCTGAAATATGCAGAGAGAGCCCATTCTCAAGGCTCTGACCTTTAAGGGTATATAACACTTTTCCAATCATACAGAGATAAAAAAAAAAAGTTGCAGAGCAGAGAATAACATTTGTGTTGTGGGAGGTTTACAGGAACATCATGACCTGACCTACGTGGACAGCTGCAAGAACAAAGAATTCCGACACCAAGAAGTTTGCAACAACCAAACACATCCCCTCCCCTTTTTAATATAAAAGGAGCCTGAATTCTGACTTGGGGAAGAGATCTCCAGGACATTAGTCCCCCGTTTTCTCCGTCTGCTGGCTTTCTGAATAAAGTCGTTATCCTTGCTTGCTCCATCACCTGATTTCCCAATTTACTGACCTGTCGTGCAGCGAGCAGAACAAGTTTGGACTCAGTAACAACCCCACACGGAGGTCCACAGGCACTTCCACCTGAGTCCTCACAACTCCTCCACAAGCCAAGAGTGAGGAACGGTGCAGGACAGGTTTAATCCCACCACACCCAGGGCACCAGCCTGCCTCCTGTGAGGCCACCACGGCCAGCCCAGGCAGACAATGGTTTGGGCAGAAAGGAAGGCCTGGGGCAAATCCCTCGGGTGAAGGGGTTTACTCTCCAAGTGGTGATGGGAAAGGAGACAGGTCAAGGCTGAGCAAGACCACAGAGGCTGAGGCCAAACAGCCAAACCTATCCATGCAACAGACATCTGAGCCCCGCTGCGGATCGCAGAGCTGCCGGAAGGTGGGACCCTCAGGCGTACACTCCGGAAATCCTCCCCAGGTCCTTGCAGTGCTGCTCCAGGCTGAGACTCACGGCTGTTACTCAACTGTGGGTCTTACTGGGATGGTGACAAACATAAACACAAGTTCTGGGAGCAGCCCTGAGCTTCCCCAAGTCATCACGCCAGCTGAGCCCTAGATTTACAGGGAAGATGCAGACTCTGTCTCTAGAGAGAACAGAGCAAATGAGGAAATAAGCTTAAATTACAGCAGAAATGAGTTCTTCCAACGAGTAGGATGAATAAAGATGGAAAAGATAGATTGCAGGAATAGAGAACCTACACTCTGACATATATTCGACTTCAAGCACGCTTTTTATTTTAAAAAACTTGAAAGCTGCAGAAGAGTAGAGAATGAACACCAGCATAAGCTTCACTCACATTCACCAACTCTTAATATTTTACATTTGCTTCATCTCTCTCTCTCTCTCTCTCTCTCTCTCTACTATATATATATATATATATATATATATATATTCTACTACTACTACTACTATATATATATATATATATATATATATATATACTACTATACGTACGTACGTAC